CCTCTTATAATTTGTTACAGAGTTGAAGTAGTTCTAGAGCATTTGTGTCTACACTTAGTCTATCTGAAGTGTCACTTTAAAAGCTGTAGTTTGAATGTCAAAGAAGTTAATTTCCAGGTTGCTGTTGACAAACTTATTGTTTATTTTTTTTTTTTTTTTTCAATACAACACAGTAAGTTTTTCTTTATTATTGAGTTGATGTATATGCCTTTGGCAAAGCTAACATCTGCCTTACCCTATTGCCTTTTCAAAATCAAAGGTGATGATACCTGTGACAGTAATACAGTACGAAATGTGTACATCAACATGTGCCTCCTACAAATAAAGACTTGTTGTTTTTTTGATACACTGTGGTTAAATTCGTAATAATAGCTCCGTAGTCCTGTGGTTTTAGCAGCATTTCTTTTTTTTTTTTGGCCGAATTTTTTTTTTCGTCCTCTCGCATTAGTTTTGGGGTCTTCAGAGGATGTCATCCAGAAAATTAAATCAGTGTGGCCTAACTGTATTGTAGTAGATTTTAGATATCTAACTTGTTATGTTTATTTTAACACCTTTATTACATTTTATAAACCAAAATAGATACTAGTATGTAATTCATTCTATAAGGTTGTAATACAGAATTATCTTATCTTATCTATATTGGTAAATATCGACCCATGTGCAAACTTTTCAGCTGAAGAAACGGATCTTTTTGGCCCGACCCTTCCATAGAGGGGGGGAGTAGTAACTCCACAGATGGCGAAATACTCATACTAATATTATTAGCGTATGCATTCACACTAGTTGAATTACTTGAAAGGGCGCCACCCAGTGGTCATTGATATGGCATGGCTACGAATCGGTGGCTGTAAAACGGATTTCACTAATAAACACAACAAATATGAGCGCAGAAAGACATTACTGTAATATTAGATCAAACCTCACAAATAGCGAGATAGTAAAAATCATGGAGGTCCCACCGAGATTTGAACTCGGATCGCTGGATTCAGAGTCCAGAGTGCTAACCATTACACCATGGGACCACGTCGTCCGACACGAACTTCTTTGTTTTCATATAGAATACAGTTATTTTAAAAACATATATATTATAATTATGCTCATATTTATTTAAATACATGAAGATATATCCTCTTAAAATATTACAGTGCAAACCGTGATACAGTTCTACAATACGTGAGTAACCAACAAAATAATTCCGCGAAAAGCGCACGCCCGCCTTTCAAGGAAGCGGCCATTTTGACGAAACCATATAAGGTAAAGGGTTACCGAAAGAACCAATCAGAATGTTACAAATACAGTGACACGTGACCAGTCTTGAGATTGCAATCATAACAATAGTCAGACAGTGAATGATACGTAGCGATTGGTCAGATAAATGAAAGGGGAATGCCCAATGTTTATGTCTGTTTCGTACCAGGACAGCAATTTATAGTGACGCGACTTAACAACATATCTCAGCTGATTAAATCTCCGTGACATTGGAATATCTCACCTGGTAAGTCAGAATCCATTAGTATCGTACGACAACAGTCGTAGTAAAGTCATTTCAAAGAGTTGCAAGACAAACTTTTTGGGTGACATTGCACCCAACCTGGATCAGCTCCGATTCTCTCAGAAATAGCGTGTCATGACCCAATTCTCTTCCAAACTAGGCGCGTTGATACCATACATTTCTCTGAATATGCACAACTAGTTGTACTCTATGTGCACAGCTCATTCGACATGTAACGTATTTATGAGTCATGTTAGCCCATTATCGTTTATCCGTTCAGACCAGTTTAAAATGGCAGAAGTGGGTGTAGCCTGGAGTAATCACGAGTACTTGCCGATCGAGGGATCGGTCAGTGTACGATGGCGTATTGGTAGCTGGGCTTTTCCAAACATTCGATTAACTTTGGCAATTTAATTCAGTTTTTTTTTAACTCAAACCATCGGAATAATTCTCAATGGCATCTCGTTTCAGTGTCACGGGGTGGGTCATCGCCCTATGAAAATCGTCCACAAAATGGCTTCGCGGGTCAAACTAGTTGCGTGGCTCGGTGTGCGATGGCCTTGGAGCCTGTACCTTATATCATAATGTTGAATCAGCTGGATTTATTTGTCAACGCTGATCGTCAACACAATCGTTTACAACTCCTTTTCACCTGTACGGATTTGGTCAGCATGATCACATGAATCAGTGGATTTATCAATGGATTGCATAACTGTGAACAAATTTCTATTTTTGATACAGGAATGGAAATAATACTTTATGTTTCTGAACGTTATTTCATGAGTATTATTAGTTATTTATAGCACAGTGATTGTATTCTTTACATATATAAACAAATTAATTGTGAGGGGGTAGTGCTGGTATTATACCGGGGGGGGGGGGGTTAGGAATAATTTGTTGTTTTGTTAGAGAAGCACATATGGCACCAAATACTGTGGAATACATTATTTTTGCTGGAATTAATTTTCGCTGAAAAGGCTTTTTGGGCTTTTTTTATGGAATTTATTTTTACTGATTTTTGATAAGTTTAATGTGAAATATAGGAAAAAAAGTATATTCGCTGGATTTTATTTTCACGGAATCATCCCTTCAGCGAAAATAGCGAATTCCAAGCAAAAATAAAGTATTCTACAGTAATGGATTTATGCTGTCCTGCAACATCAACATATGGTGTTTTTTGATCGTATACCTTCTTTGTAATTTACATATAAGTATGCAGTACTAATAAATCAAATACAGTACAATTTATTGAACATAGTACAGAATGTTAAAAAATAATTGATAACTTGATGGATTTTTCGTTCGTCTTACAAAAGCACTTAGACTAAATTATAAATGGATACTTTTCCAAATGTGATTTGAATTTTACCAGTCATATGACTTAGTGAGATACATGACCTACTTTATACAAGTACACTGCCATGAACAGGATTCTGGGATCTTAAAACAGATACATATTATTTATTTTCAAATATTTCCCAATTTTCAAGGGTGAATAAATCATGGGGCCAATAACAAATGTAACGTTGTTTATTATGCTGTTCTACAACTGTTTACCATCTGTAAAAGTTAGTTACCAAAATATGGCAGTTATAATAAAAATATAAAGCAGACTAAAACATGGCTTTGCTGATAAATCTATGGCAAACCGATTTATTTGGTCATATATGACATGCATGGAGCTGGAAAGTGAATTCTTTTAGCTCCATGAACTGTGTAACATCGATAATGAATGAGTGTTTACAGTATTCTATCTAGCAATATAGGCAATCAACATGGCTAATTTATGAATGAGAGAGGTGTTAAATTAACTGATTGTTTTGTTTTGTTAATTGATTATTTTGTTTCCAATAACTCCAAGTATAGTGGCTATTGTCTTTGAGAGTCTAGACTTTGGATACACATGGTAGATAGTTTAACAATAGTGAAAGCCATTCGAAAACCACAAAGCAAAATGTGTATGGGCTTCTTTAATTTTATGAGTCATGATAATTTTTTGGAGCTATGAAATTTTGTGACAGTTCATTCATGAAATTTCGTCTTCAGATGAAATATGCTCTCAAGCAGACAAATTAAACAGTGTGGTATTAATCTGTGATAAATCAATATTAATGCATACTTGGCAATATTTGACTATATTTTATAAGAAACCACAGCTTAGAGATGGTGGGAAACGACCAAACTGGGTGGGGGTGTTTTAATTAGAGTGTACTGGTATGTTTTGTGTTGTATTATATTCCATTGTTGTACCATAGTCTGGTCAAAGGTCAATGAATGTTTATGGTTCAGTTCAGTTCAGTTAATTTGCATATTAGGATATTACCACCTCTGTCTCACTTCTGTTGTACTCCACAGCCTGTCTGTGCAGTGTCATTTGAGGTCACACAAGTTAAATGCATCAGCTGTGCCGAGCGCACCTGGAAGTAACCATGACCCACTTTTACATGTAAACAAAATATGTACTACCGTTGAATATGAGAGTATTTAATGCACCAGTGTACCCCACCCTCGAACAGTCGCATGAATTTATTGTCATGCAAATGATCATGTTGTCCTGAACTAGTGCGTTTTATCTTGGTTTGTGCTGTTAATTCAACCGTTGTGTGGTAATATCGGAAAATTAACCATACAACACAGATAATACAAAGCAGTTATAAGAAAATACAGCTTTCATAATATCATAATCATAATTATTACATGCCATTTCTAAACAGCTGTCATAAAATGGAACAGTTGTACTTCGTTGCCAAAGGTTACGGTATATTACAATTATTAAGGAGAATTGCACAAGTTATTTTCAGATTCGCCAAATTTCGTACTGAAATTAAACTTCAAAACTTTCAATTGCATCAAATTTGAATATGTTTTGTTTTTGTAGATAATTTGGAAGTGCATTCGTCATGGCTTATTGGAGATTTACTGAATTTGTCCCATGCACACACACTTACATTGTACATATGTGGCCTGAGCAAAAAGTTTGCATAAATTGTATAACAATTTCATTTTGTATGGGCTCACATATGTCTCTCTATTGAAAATGTGCTTCTAGTATAACAAATATCATAATAATGATGCACCTTGTGAATGCTGTCTTGTTTTTGAGTGTTGGGGAGATGAGTATTACACTACGCTATACATGAAAGATTTATATTCTTGAATTGTTTAATGGCTACAATATCAGGATAGTTTGCTTTGTGTACATTTATGGATGGATATGGTATAACTCATTGTAAAGAGACTCACAGGTGCTGTCTCACAATCCTGTCATCCATGATGTGTTGGTGAGGGGTGAACTATTGTTTACTCAAGTGGATGGCTTGAAAGATTGCATAAAGAAATAAGTTTTCAACTGTCGCATGTAATAGCTATTGGTGCAACTCTGGCAGTAGTAACAAGGGTTACCCATGTGATAACAACAATAATATCACATCATATTACATATTCCATATCAGTCCTCCTGATTCCAAATGGTTTAACCCTAATAATCCATCATGACAACTTGGATTGTTGTTAATAACCAAATACTAAATATTACACCCCCCCAACCAGGGTTTGGGGTACCCCTTTTGGGGGAAGGTTAGAATAAAATCAAAAGCCAAATGAAAAGGAAGACAAAAAACCTTCTGGAGAAAAAGAAATTGTCACAATATAACTCGGTATTAGAAGCCGCATCCTTAATAGAAGTCGCACCCATTCTTTTTGAATAATTGAGAACCAAAAATTCATCATTTCTCATATGTGTAGATGCTCTAATAGAAGCCACATCTTCTCTGTTGCATTGTACCATTTTAATAGAAGACATGGTTTCTAATACAGATTTCACAGTATGTAGTAAATGCAAAAAATTAACTGATAATTTTCCTACCCCTCCCTTGCATATAGAATTATTTGTTTGTCCCTAACTTACTTGTACATTCTGTATAAAATGTGACTTCCGCTATTGTCAGACACATCCTGGTTCAAACCATGTATCATTGTGTGTTGTTTTGGTGGGCAATAAATGTACATGTGAACAGGATATGGAATGGACAGGATATGTAATCAGAGAGTGTCCCTGCCAACTGTATTTAAACTCTAAGTTCAGCTGTTAGTCAAAACTGTCTAAACTGATCAACCATAGGATGGAGATGATCGTATCGTTTATGGAAGTCAAGCAAATATGTGAAACTGAAAAACGGTGTTCGGTTTCAGATAGATTTCTGGTTTACACAGTGTACAATTGAGATGGATTGCTAGTACTATGGGTTGTATATACCGATATTTAATTTTTCCAAGAATTTTGGGGGTGTAAGTATTTCAGACTTTGGATCACACACTAATTTTGCTGCCAAATACACCATTAACATTTGGTAACTTGTTGATCAGTTTGTTGACATGGTCTACTATGTGTCTGCGATACATGTACATACATGATTAATTGTGTATGTTCAATGCGCTCGATGTCAACACAATGACCACCTTGTGTTTATGATATACAACATTACGATATAAGACATGTGTTTGCTTTAGGGATGGGCGTAATTTATTGCTTTATATCTTTATTAACGTGATAGATTTTTTTTTGTCAAACAAGGAGTAAAAAAAAATTGAACACTGTACAGGAGTAAATAAAAGTGCGGCTACAGGTTCAGTTGAGTTCAAACGTTGATTGTATGTCCCATTGTAATGAATTACAGAAAAACGTGATGGTATGATGTCTGGAAATCAGTGTCCCGGTATGCTATGGGTGGTACAATAAATAGGCATAAATTGAAATTTTGAAATTTAACGCAGCAACTGAGAATTAGTTCCTATCAAATAAAAGGTTACATGCATGGAAATCTTATCGTTTTCTGCAACAGCCTGTGAAATGAAAGTAGGGCATTCTAGCAGAATTGCAGGTATATATACAATCTACTTGTGTTCATAGCAAGAATGTCATTATAGTTGTATTTGCCTAGAGGTGACTGAGACTAAAAGTAAAGGCCACCTGTTGCTGGTGAGACAATGACTTAAAAATATCTTGAAAAACTCATTCTTGGCACAGACAATTCATGATAAATTTAGGCGAGTTGAAACTAGATGTAGTTACCCCACCCCAGAACAAATGGTAAATTGATCCAAGGATCTCCCCGCATTGCTGTATGCTAATAAAGTAAGGCTCTATAGTCACTGCACAGTGTACATTCAAATATTAACAAACAATATTCTGTATTTATTCTGTATGGTGAATATAAGTCATATTTTAATGATCCCTACAATAAATACAACTTTTTGGTGCATGTGCTTCTACCAGAGATGTGCTCCAATATAGCAAATACGGGATTAAAATAACATTTTTAATAGTACTAGTGTTTTTTTTATGTAGTGAGTTTTGTACAGAAATTTTTAATAATAATAAACTACCTAATTTTTGCTGCTCAGAATTTTTGTGATTGGTGATTTTATGGCATTTTCATGCTACAAAATTTCCCTTGCAAAATTGTGAAAATATGTCTCTCGCAAATTATAGCAGTTTTCAGTTTCAGATATCTAACATTGAAAATGACTATGACGAACAATGGCGATTTATTTACCTGAAACAGCAAGTGTGCATATGGGATAAAATTATACAAGTTACAAACATAAACCAAATTTAAAGGCTGTTGTGTTTGCTTTTACGCACTAGCCATTAATGTTTAATCGGTTGTAGGTCAACCTGTGGACATTCCAACCCACACAAATGAGGGGCCGAAGTCCGTAATGCTGTGTATTATTACTGTACAATAATTTATTATATCTGCAGTCGAAAACAACAGCTTGTTGCGTCGCGACTAATTCTGAATATATTCAGTGTGAATTATGGTGGTTCTATAGTTCTACTTAAATAATGAGATACTACGATATGGCTGCCTTTACTAGTAAATATAGTTAAAAGTCCAAACACATCTATGTTTATGTGTTTATTTGTGCCTAGTACACAAAATCTGCATTTATTCCCTGGTACCCAGCTACATAAATGTTACTCTTCATCTCTTTGTGTAATTACGATATCTATATAATATTAATATTTTTTTTTCATATTTTAATATTATAGGTGATGTTTACTGGAATGTAACAGTATTGGATTTAATTGTATTGTCACTACGTCTATCGTCTTGACTACCATATCTGTTGTTTTGGCTACTACGCCTATTGATTTATACGTAAGATTGTCATCTATTGTAAAGCCCTATGGTGGTGCTGTAATATAAAATGGCCGACAGTGTGGTAGGTAGACTTTTTAATTCAGAGTCTGTGAAAATAAAAACCTAATACTGTGAAATGACTAATTTTCGCTGGGTTTAAATTTCACTGATTTACCATTTCAGGCACATTCAGTGGGTTTTAAATTCATGGTTTAATCAATTTAAGATAATGTGTTCTATGCTAAATTTTACATATTCATTGGGTTTTATTTAGCGCATTTTCCAGTCAGCGAAATAAGCAAAATTAAAACCCAGTGAATAATTAACCCCTTTACAGTATTCAACGTCGGATGCTTTGCAAGCACTTTGGAATTTATTGCAATTAGAAACACTTTTGGAGGGATGGATAATGCACAGATGAATAAGCCACATAATTTCTAATGGTTTCTTCCTTATTCCTATTTCTTAGAATTAAAATTTATACAGGTAATATTTAGGTGTAATATTTAGGATTTCTGCACTAGCTATTGTGTAAAATGGTTATTGTTTACCAAAGTGAAAGTAATTTTGAACATGGGAACATTTGTAGCAGGTTACATAAGTTTATTGTGGATTGTCACTGATTTAATTAGAAATGGATTATCATTGGCTTAGGTGGTATGAATAGAAATGAATTATCATTGACTTAGGTGGTATGAATAGAAATGAATTATCATTGACTAAAGTGGTATAAATAAAAATTTAATATCACTGACCTAAGTGGTATTAATAGAAATAGATTATCACTGACCTAAGTTGTGTAATTAGAAATTGTCACTATATTAATATTTATCACTAACTTAAGTGGTATGAATATAAATTGATTTGTACCTGTTTATTTTATGTTGTTGGTCACCTAGATAAATATTTCAGTGTCACATATAGCAAGGTACTTTATTTTGGGGACAAGTGGCCTTGGACTGTTCTAGCCCCAGGCTGTCTAATTATATCTACCCAGGTATTCTAGTTTCTATATACAAATAACTCAACAATGATTCTTTGCCTTTCTGGCAGCAGTAATATTTACAGTATATGCTACTATATCTGTAGTAGAAATTTGTATGAGTCATGTTTTT